TTTTTTTTTTTTACAGACAGGTAATTCTGCTATAATCCTGCCATAATTTAGAACTTCTTAAATTCCCTCATTTACCCTGTTTCTTTGCTAAAAATACAAGTTTGGATTTACTTATTTTTCTTAAACAGAACTATTTTTTCCTTTCATTAGAATTTTAGTGCAGCATTTTGTGCTGTTAGTATCAATTCCTCAAAGTAGTAAAGCAGTGATACGATTTTCTGAAATTAACTCACTTGAATTTCTAGTTTGACAGCAGCAGCTTATTTTGGGAAGGGCAGTGTTAAAACATGCTGCTTCTTCCGAGTGTATTAAATACATTTTATAAGCTTGAATGCAGTATAATTCTAACTACTCCAATCAAGCCATCTGCTATTTCCCATTCATTCTTATGTGACAGGATTGTGAATGCAACTTGAAAAAGAGAATATACACAGATGTATGATCTTCAGTCCTTCCAAAGATATGTTCTAGCTGACTGTATAGCTATAGTGGTTTGTAACCACTATTCAGATGCCAAAATGTTTTCCTTCAGCACTACTTGCAGTAAGAAGAAAAACAGATTTAATCACAGCTTGAATTCCCAAGTTTTGCAATAAAATAAGCTAGAATCTTACTATTAAAAACAAACAAGCAAATTTAAAACCCTATACTAACCGTTGGTTTATTCTGCATTTATGTCTAACATCCCAGGAAGGAAATTACAAATAGTCACTACTTTTACCTGACTGCCATTCTTCATTAAGTACACTTTCACTGCTGGGGTTATTGTCTTCCTCATCATCCAGTTCTGTACCATTTGGTATGCGTTCTGCAGTTCTAGCTTTTAAAGTAGACTCTTCCTCCTCACTGAATTCCTCACTAGGCTGCTCCCTAAGTAGTTGCTCCATTGAGGCACGAAGCTCTTGCAGGTCTGTATCTGCCTCTCCAAACATACTGAGATAAAAGAAAATATAAAAACATTATAGCCCATCATCCACAAGCCAGTTTTATAAAATCTTCCACATTTGTACCAGAATTGTGGCAAATTTTTTATAAAAGGGATACATTTTCCCTAAACTTCAGTGTTGGGAACATTCCAAAATTATACTTAGATGGCATCTAGAATAAGACACGTACAAATGACATGTTCCTGATTTTTCTGCCACATGCCACACACATGCTGCAGGGTAGCCACCCCTGCTCTAGAGGAACTAGAAGGAAGAGAAAGGAAAAAGAGGTCCTATATACAGCTGCTCCAAAACTGGGGTAGCAATGGACAAAGCAGAGCACCAGGAGGTAATTTAACCAGGTGTAAAAATGGAAAGCAAGTCTTACGAGCCCAAATCAGCAAGTGTGATTTGGATGGGGTATTTTCAGGAAGAGAAGTGCAAACAACCCATGTCTCACTAGGGAAGAAGCTGACATGCAGAAAAATGTACGTTTTCTTAATTTTGAGATAACTTTCACTATAATACTGACAATTCACACATTAAGTATAAATAGCCATAGCATACTGCTTATGGCTCAATAAACAGTAAAAGCATCATGCTTTCCCCGTGTGGTTCTCAACTTCTTTTTGATCCCCACAAGCCCCCAGGGCACCTCACAATGAAGCTAATCAGTTCTCACAGAGTACCATACTAAAGTGGTTCTGTTGCCTCCTATTTAGGAGGCAGAGCAGCTTGGTGCCATAACCCAATGTTTCCTAGAGCCATGGGAAAACTCAGAGGTAAGAGGATCACCTAAGCGCCTCTCCTATACATTTAGTCCACAGGTTCCGGGCTACTGTTAGCTATCCATATACTAGTCAAAACTCATTCCGTCTTGTGAAAATACAGCATGTACTGTAAGAACAAGGGGGGTGGGAGGGTGGAAGAAGGAAGGTGTTAAGAGTGGCTCACAACAGTTACTTATTAGACCATTTTTAAGTAACAAGACTTGTTTGATAAATATTCTGATGTCTTCCCTCTTTGATCACATCTGTTTGAAACTGAAATTTCATTAAAAACATCTGATGGCACTTTTTTGGAAAGTCATCCCCCCATAAGTAAAAACAAACATAAGTAGACAAAGGCCACAGGTGGATACACAACACCAAATGGAGAAGTACAAATACACAGTGGGACAGCAGTGGTTAGTATGATAGAGAGTGGTCTCAGCACACTAATAGCCTAATCATTGTCAATTGTTTTTGATAGACTCAAGACAAAAGGAAAGGTTTAAAAAAAGAATAATGAGTTGGCATTTATGATGTTTATAGGGTGCTGCTCGTCTCAACTGTGAGAAGTCAGGGAAAAAGTACAAACATTTTTTGACAATACTCAGCCCTTTTTTTTCTTTCTTTCTTTTTTTTTGTTACAAAATTCCAGCAATTGGGCAATGGAGGCTGGCATTGCAGGCAAATTAGAAACACAAGCTGATATGTCGATAATGAGAAACAAAGCAAAATATCGATGTGGGGATAGGCAGAATGGTGGTAGTGCTCACAATAGTTGAGATAAGCAGTAGGTGGAAAGGGTTGTAGGTAGGGCTGTCAATTAAAATTGCAGTTAATGCACACAATTAACACATTAGTTGGTTCTTGCATTAACGTGTTAAAAAAATTAATTGCGCATGTGGCTTTGGAGCCCACACCCAGGCTCTACTCCACCACATCCGGGCTGCCCGGTGGGGTAGCAAATGGCAGTGCCCTGCTACCTTTGCCCCAGGAGCTGTGCAACACAATGTAGGGCAGTGGATATGCGACGTGGTCAGTGCATGGCTCCCAGGGCAAAGGCAGCAGGGCTCAGACCCCAGCCCACCTCTGCCTCATACACAAATCTGGAGGGCATGTACCCTCCATGCCTCTCCTGAGGGGGCATGCAGCGGTGGGTAGCCGCACCCCCATGCCCTAGACGAACCTCCCATGGCTCTGACCCATGACTTGCCCCAGCCCCTGGTCCCATTCACCCCAGCCGTTGCCCCTGCCCCACTCCCTCCCTCACCATGGGGGCCCTGATTTCCCCCACCCTCTGTGCTCCTTCCCACCCCCATATCCCTTTCCTCCACAGACTTACCTGCAGGGAGCTGTGTCTGTCCCTCACCCCAAGCCACAGCCTCTCTAGCCCTGCTGCTGCCCCTCACCCCTGACCCTCAGTACACTGCATCCTGCCAGGGTGTACCGGGACTGTCCCCCACCCCACACATATACATATACATACAGCCCCCCACACCTTCACAAATGCCCACCACACTCACACCCCACACCCACCCCAACCATACCTGCATAATTGAATTTTTCTGTGCATTATTTTGAGTTTTGAGCTGTATGATTTAAATTGTGATTAACTGCAACTATTATTTTTTTTTTTAACTGAACAACTAATCACGATCAAAATTTTTAATTGTTTGAGAGCCCTAGTTGTAGGAAGAAGAAAGAATACTTAAGGGCTCTGCTTTGGCTATGCCGAACTTGAACTAACTGTTAAGCGTCCACAAAGATATCAGAAATGGAGCAAAGATTTAATTTGAACAGAAGGATGCAGGTCTGGAGTTGAGAGATAGATCTGTGAGCCATTAGGAAGAGAAAATGAACTGCTACTTCTAGATTAAATTATCTAAAGATAAGATATACAAGGGAAAAAACAGGGACCAAAGGATAGACCCTGACAGAACCCCCACAGAAATTTGGAGGATAAGTTTCCAAAGGACATGCTGAAGAATCAATTAAGACAGGTAGAAGGAGAGGACATTTCAAGAGCATGGTCAACATGTTACAGGACACTTGTCAATAAATACTGAGGCTGGAAAACTGAATCTGACCTTAAGTCAGAAGAGGAGGTCATTAGATATTTTGGCAATAGTGGTTTCCATGAAGAAGATATTGAATACACTTTAGAGCAGGGCTGGTCAAAATACAGCCCACAGGCTGGATGCGGCCCGTGAGGCCATTCTATCTGGCCCGCAGGGCCCCTACGAAAAAGCAGAAAATTAATATTTCTCTGCCCTTGGTTCCTGTCAAAAGTGGCAGGAACCAAGGGCAGTAGGACCCAGGGGAAGCCCAGCAGGCTCCAACAAAAGCAGGGGACACCCGCCCTGCCCCCCAGCCAGGGTTTCTGGGCTGGGAGGGACCCTGGGCAGGGAAGGAGTGCGGGGTGGGGGGCGGGGGGAAGCGGCTCTTCCCCAGCCCACACTTGGGTGTCCCACGCTGCAGCTGCTTGCAGCCCACATGGGGCTGCCTGTGCCCGCTTTGGACAGCCCACGTGGGCTGCAAGCCCCTGCAGTACGGCACACAGGGCAGGGGAGGGCCACTCCCCCCCCCCCCGACACTCAGCTTTTCCCTGGGCTCCTTCCCGACCGGAGAAAAGCGGCCCCTTGCCCACCCCATGGCCACCACTCCCTGCTGCAGGCACTCGCAGCCCGCATGGGGCTGTCTGGAGCAGGCACAGGCAGCCCCAGGCAGGCTGAGAGTACCTGCAGCACAGGGCGCTGGGCATGGCTCAGGGAGGGGCTGCTTTTCCCTCCCCACTGTGCTCAGCACCACCTTGTAACCTGGCCCCACTGCCAGGCTGGTAGGGTGGCAGGTTACAAGCTGGTCCTGAATGCAGGGAAAAGTGGCCCCTCGCCTGACCCATGGCCAGCACCCTGTGCTGCAGCCACCTGCAGGCTGCCTGTGCCTGCTCCAGACAGCCCTGCACGGCCTGTGAGCACCTGCAGCAGGCAGCACTGGCCATGGGGTGGGCGAGGGGCCACTTTTCTCTGCGCTCAGCACCAGCTTCTTCCTTTCTGGCAAGCAGGGGGTTGGGGCTGTGTGCTGCCCCCCATCTGTACCAAGGGGCTGAAGGGCACTGGGTGTGAGTGGGCGGGGAGCCAGTGGGAGCACAGGGCCCGCACCAGTGTCCTGAGGCCAGTGCCAGTGGGGCCCAGAGCAGCATGGCAGGAGAAAAGGGTCCCGGCTGGCGGGAACTCTATGGAGCCAAATCAGCTCCCCCATCTCCCTGCTGGTGCAGGCCAGCCCAGCTCCAAAGACCCCTTCCGGCTTGCACCCACTCTGGGCCCCACTGGTGCTGGCCCTGGGACATTGGTCCCAAGATGGTGACCAGGGGGTGGGGCACCTGTCAAGGGGCAGGGCTACCCATGTGGCCCTCGACAGCCTGCCAAAACTGGGCAAGCGGCTCTCCGCCGAAAATAATTGCCCGCCCCTGCTTTAAAGAGCATTTAAGATGGAACTGGAGGAGAGGATTTCCAGACAACAGTTGTATATTTAATAAACTGAGAGAGTAAAGAGAATGGCAGCAGTTGGAGTGATTAGTGGGTTTAGGGTTGGGGGGGGGGGGTTGTTCGTTTGTTTGTTTTTTGTTGTTGTTGTTGTTGTTTTTTACAATGGGAGAGGAAAAAACCCATATCAGTAACTTGGTTATTCATATCCAACTAAAGAATATTCTAAACATTTTTGCAATATTGGAGTAAATGTTTTATGCTTACAGGTCATCAGAATCAGAATGTCCTTCTTTGACATGTTCATTTTCCATATCATCTATTTCAAGATTGTCTTGATGTTGTACATCTGCTATACTTGGAACATCAACTACTGCCTTGTACAATTTGGAAAGATCTGGGAGTGAACACGTTCTTAACATCTATAAAGATCACAAACACCTCACGTTAAGATGGTTTTTATAACGATTCAGTAACAAAACATGGAACAACTAAATTTAAAAATTAAAGCAAAGTATGAAAATCTATTTTGACACTTTATCTCAAAACAAAAACCACACACAGGAAGTATATTCTAATGGAAAATCTCATGGTTTCAGAATTTAGAAGTAAAAGGGATGTTTTCCCTTTTTAATGTTGAAAAGGTACAAGAAACCCAGAAAAAATATGTAAACTGATGTACAGTTTCTTTTATCATGTGGATCTGTTCATTTTTTTGCTAGATCTTTTTAATAATAAAAATGTTACATTGGTAAAAAACTGCACTGTTAAATGTGCATGTGCTCATGCACACATTTAAAAAAAATATTCCTGTCAGTTTAAAAAAATACATTAAAAATTAATTTCTTTAGTATGCTACTAAAGACACCTTGTTTAATGGCAACTGAAAAAAAAGAAAAGAAATATCTACTTAATTATTCATGGTGCTTTGGATTATTGTATGTGCAGCTTGGACAATAAAAGACAAGTGATGTAACAAAGCTGAATTCAAGTCAGTTTTTCTAGTAGTAAACAATAGGAAAAGAACAAAAAAACCCAACACATTGATTTCATTGGCAACAAAAATAAAAGCATAGCACAGATTAGCTGTCCACTCAGTATTTACACAAGAAGGTTCTAGTAAGGATAATTAGGTTTCTTATAATGTATACTTAATATCCTACACCAATGGTGCTCAACCTTTTTCCCCCTGTGGGCCGGATGGGCAGTGGCTGGTCCAACAGCAGGCCATGTAGTGGCTCTGTTCCAGCAGCTAGGGCCATGGCAGCAGCCACCATCCAGCCATGTGAAAGTAGGTGGAGGGAACAGCCTGGCCCCACAGGTTGGGGAAGGGGGCTTCGCCCAGCCCCAAGAAGGCGGGAGGGATGTAACCTGGCCCCACAGGGGAGAAAAGGGCCTTGACCCAGCCCTGTGGTATAGCCTGGCCCCACTGTGTGGCCTGGTCCCATGGAGGGAAAGGGGGTGTGGCCTGAGACCAACCCAGGCCCCTGGGAAAAAGGGAGCATGGTCAGGCCTTGTTGGGGAGAAGGGAATGTGACCTAGCCCTGTGGGAAAAAGCGGGGCTGGGCCTGGCCTGTGGGGTGGGGGGAGGGCCGTGGCTGTATTAATGGCCACTACTCCCTTACTGCCAAATTTCCAGACCCCCCAGGGGAGCCCAGCAGGTCAAATATTCTGGTTTCGTGGGCTGCATTCAGTTCACAGGTCAAAAGTTGAGCACCCCCGGTCCTACACCTTGATATTTTCACTGCAAAGTTTTACTCTTAGAACTTGCTTGCTGTTGGCATTGGCTTAAGTGTGTTCATGTCCAGTTTTGATTCCTTCAGACTAAACTTCTGAAGGTAAACCAAGTGCCAGAAGACCTACTGCACAGTACAGCAGAGCAATACCTGTGTAGAAGCTGAAGTACTTGCAGCAGTGCCAGCATCATGCAGCAATAAGCCCTGGAAAGATATTGTTCCCATAATAGTGGCCAAAATAACTGAACTTGGTCGTCTGTGACACCTAGGGGTCAGAGTGCCCTAAAATGAAATACTGCTGTATTTTGGGAATGCCTCTTTGCTACCTTTGTGACCACACAGGCTTAGCTCTGGGTAAGGCTCCAATTAAAGGTTATGTTGCTGCTTGATCCAGGAAAGTAGTCCTGGACTTCCTCAGCTTGTGGGGAGAAGCAGAAGTTCAGCCACTGCCATGGAAGTCCTGAAGCAACAAATGTGAATACACAGACAATGGAAAAGAGATGGAGATGCTGCGATGTGACAAGGACAACTTCCAATGTCAGGCAATGGAACTTATCTTTCAGTAAGCCTGCCACAGCAAAGGGCAGGAGAAAAAAAATCTAGGTCGCATCCTCATAATACAATCAGCACTGAAAGAAGCTCAATGACAAACAGAATAGAAATTTTAATAGCCAGAATAATGGACATCTTGCCAGATTAACAGAGCAACCCAAATCAGAGGAAACTGGACTCATACTCCAAATATTTTCAGCAAGGAATACTAGGGTCTGAAATACCTCGCAAAAATTTAACACAAAATAATATGCTGTACAGTAGCACAGGACACTGGTGCCTACCCATAATGTTGCACAGTTTCTCTTAATGCAACCAGGTACTGTGAGAATACACCAACCTGGCAAAGGGAGCTGACTACGTAGGCACCTCTGCTGAAAAAGCTACTGTATTTATTTGCATACAATACACACCTCTCTCCTCCCCTCCCCCCGATCAGGTTTCTGAAACTGGGGTGTGTCTTAGATTTTACTTCACTGGAATAGAAGCATGGAAGAAAGAGGCAAGGAAACTTTGTGCTAAAACATCTGCCAAAATGTCTGCCACTTCTCCCAGAAGAGGCAAGCAGCAGGGGAAGAGTTCAGTGTTAACTCTCTCACAGCTGTTGGTAGGTAGGTTTTGGCTGAAGAGCCATTAAGCGGACTCAAGACAAGCAAGCTGCTGCAGTCTGTAGCATCTTATCAGGTGTGTGGTGTGAAAGCAATCCTTCATTATTTCCAGGAACTTAAATAGCTGCTTCTAACAAACAAGCAGCAGTCTTGCTGCTTCCCTTGAAGGGTCTGGGGCCTACCCTTGTTGCTGTCCTGCTATACCAGAACTGTCTCTCCCAGACTGTCTCCTGGGATGTCACACTTCCTTTATGATTATGTTTCTAGGAGGACTTACTCCGTATCATAAGACTCAGGGAAAAATATTTTTCTACATTCTACCTTCCAAAAAATAAGATGCATATCTTATTTGGGGCCCTGTGGTATGTGAGAAAATACATGATGTAGAGGTTCTCGTACAGACAAGCCCCAAGATAACAACATTAGTTTATCAATATAAATAAGCTTTAGGTACTTGCCTTTGGATTGTTTGCATCAAATAAGCCAGTAGAAAGCCCAATCAACAATGAACTTTTGCCTTTACTTTTGGCTGGTGATACAGAGCGTGACCGAGGTGGAAATGACTCATCCAGTGAAGACTGAGCTGACAAAACTGGTGAGGCTGTTGGTCTGCTGTGGGGCTGTGCCACCCTCTGGAAAAAGGGTTCAGGTTGCATAGAGTGATCAAGACAAGTTTCTGGCATGATAAGAGAAATAATGTTATAGATCTATGTAGATTTAAAGAAACCCTCCAGTCCTCTAAGCCTGCAGGCTCCCCAAGGATCTAAAACTTTCCAGACCCATGTGGAGCCAGGCGAGCTGAACAGCTGCACACCCAATCTGAGCATGTGGGGCTGGGGTGGGGCAGTGTGTGGCCCAGTCCAAGGGCTGACCCTGGGCTCTGGCCTGGTGACTGTCCTCGTGCAACTTATTTAGGTCAAAGCCGATGGTAGACAGGGTTCCATTCCTATAGCCCAATTTTACTAAAAAACACATACGAGCTAATTACCATACTGTGGATTCACTTATTTTGACTGTTTTAATACAGGTGGTCAAAAATATTGGTTAGGAAACAACTCCAGCTTCTTACTCTCTTTATGCATCAAAATGCTATAAAAAGGAGATACAAAATAGTATTCACCTGCAAAGTTTTCCTCTATTAATATTCAATTTTTGAAATGTGTAAGTTTAGCAATTTTTGCATATACTGGATAACAATTTTGTGGATGGTTTCCACTGTACCTCAAAATGAATGTCTGGTAGAGTGGACTGTACCAGGGCTTGAAAATGGGCCCCAGTGAGGTCCCTGATTGGCAGCATGGGAACAACATGGGGCTCAAATGGTACTACTGCCAATCAGCTCATCAGCAGCCACCATTCAAGCCCAAGTGCAGTAAGGATCCAACCAATGATTAGCTGATCAGCAGCTGGCTCTGACCCGGGCAGGGGGGAAGCACTTTACTGGAAGAGGCAGTGCGCTATTAGATAAAAGCACCAAAACCCCCCTGCTGAAGCATGAAATTAATACAGACATTGGGTGAGCCTGGTCCAACTAACGCAATGCCTTTTCTGGGTGTGCATTGGGCTCAGCGTGGGGGTACACCAAGTTTACAATAAAGCACTTTTTGTGGGGGAGGGGGGTTATGCCTGTAAGCAGCCTATAGGAAAAAGGAATTACTATCAATGCTACTAATTAATTAAATAAATAAAAAGTAAGATCTACTGACTGACCTAATGAAGCTTCATCCTTTGGCTGAACTTCATCTACCATTTCTTTCTCTGAAGCTGTATCATCACTGCCATTTTCCTGCTGACAGGCAGAATCATTCTGTGGCCTATGACAGGACACCACAGTCAGAAAAAGAAACCACATCAAACTAATTAACATGTGCATCTACTGAAAAATTAACCACCCATCAAAATTAATTATAATAAGACAAAGACAAACAGGGGAGCCAAAACCAAACATAATATTTAAGTAAACTATCTAGTTATCAGTGAAAAAATAGTTACCGATTCTAACGCTACTACAGGCAGCACTAAATAAAAAAAGAAAAAAAAATAATTACCCATTGTCCTTCACTTCTTTTTCTTTAATCCACACATCATTAACAGTGATGGGAAATTCTTTACTTTTGTGGTTTTTATTTCCTTCTATTTCTTCCAGCAACTCTGTTTCCAAATCATCAGGCTCTAAATTCAATAAAATCACAAGTGAAGAGTATCAAGTAAAGGCCATTCCTTGGAAAAAAAGAGAGAAGCTTCAAGGAAAGTTCTCTCATCTTAAAATAGTTACATTTACATCCTTGGAGTTTTAAAAACTGGATGTAGCAAAGAAAGATGAGCATGACCCTGAGATATGCGGCGCTGCAGACCCGTCTGCAGACCTGTCTGCACATTCACATGTTCTCTGCAAGGTAGCACTACAGGGTTTTTTTTTGACCCTGGGAGATTCTGGGGTCAAAAAATACCCATGTGAAGAAAGCAGGGCAGTGCCTGCAGGGGCAGTGTGCGCCATTCAAAACCAGAGCCTGGCTGCCCAGAGCTACACTCCAGTGGCTGGCTAGGCTCCAAGTGACAGGATCACTCCAGCTGCAGCTCCCCGAGGCTCCCAGGACTCAGGTGAGGCTGCCGGGGCCAGCATGGTTGCTGGCTCCAGCCTCCCTTGCCCCACCCGTGATAACTTATGTGCCAAAGCATGTGGCACAGGTATTCCCAGGGACAAGTAGCAGCAGCACAAGTTATGCTGCTGCTTCTTGTCCCCAGGGAAACAAATCTCTACGCTCGTGTGGACGCAGTCTCTGGGTTTAATAGAAGGACGTTATGACGGCAGCTCTGCCTCCTTATAGAACCCACTGTTCATTCTCACAGCCACAAAGAGCACTGGTTTCCTGAAAACTCAGCAGCACCAATGTTCCCCGTTCAGAAGTGGAAAATATGCAGATGTCTCTTTGGTGAAAAAGCTTGGCATCACCTTGTTCCATGGACAGTCACACAACATAACAAATCAAACAGTTTTGACATTTAACATATTCCAGTTGTAACCTATAAATGATATATTAATCATATCAAAATTCTGGCAAATTCTTCTTTTTAAAAAGGAACCAAGAGTTACACTATTATTAATTCCTTAATCCTAACTAGTATCAATGAAAACTCATACCATCCAGCACAGCAGGCAGGGATGAAATCTGGGTAGTTCCAGATGTCTGCGATTCCTCAGGTATTGTCCTTTCAGACTCAGTGACAACAACTGGTTCTGAAGATTTATCTTCAATAGGAGAAGCAGTTTGCTCTTTTACTGTTAAAGATTGATAAGTTTCCTCTTCAGATAGTTCTACAGTTTCAAAACACAAAAGTTACTGTACAGTTTTAAAAAAAACACCTCAGAGAGTTATACCTGGTTTGGCACAAGTTTCAAATCTGGTAAACAGCAAATTGTAAAGCTAAGTCTCCATACACAGGCAAGCACTAACACTAATACATGGGAAACCACCACATTTAACACCCTTTTTTAAGCAAAAAGACGCATTTACCCTGTTCTAACACAATTAACTCATTATACTTGCTATAACTGAAGCAGTTTTCTAGTATCTTTTAAGTTTCTTTGTTTAGGACTAATAACCAGATAGTGTGCACAGTGTGTTGCTGGATTTCAAATTTCACTAAGAATTCTTCTATTTTTACCTACAAGAGTATAACTGTTTGATGCATGAAAGGTTGCACATATGCCTGATTTAAAACAAAAAATAAAACCAAGTTGACGTAACTGCAAACTGACTCAAGCTTATTTAGACTATTTAAGATATGACTGTTATGCTTACTCAGCTAAGTAATACTGCTGATATTTTGATAAGGGTAAACCCAATAACACTGCAAGTTGAAAATATGAAGTTTTTTGCTTTAGACATTTATCACTGTAATATAGAAAAATACCATTTACAAGATAACAGTCCATTTAATTTTAAAGCATAAAATTACACATGTAATAAAAAATTCAAGTGCAACAACTTGGATGTACGTTTTGTTAGGACATCACAGTGAAGGGTCTCAGATTCTCAGAAGAGGAAAAGAAAAATATTAACAGTTGACCTGCCAAATCCCTAATAATGTCTATGTTCCAACCTCAAAAGCAGAAAGATACAAAAGCAAGAGTGAAACACCTGTTTCACCCCATTGGAAACAGGTCAAAAACAAGCAGGAATGGAAGACTTAAGAAAAGTTGATATCAAGAAGTGATAGAACAGTTAAATAACTTAATCGAAGGTTTAAAACAGTGTACTGGGATTCTTGTTTTAAAACACTGATTTCTACTTCTTTTGTCCTTTACTGGAAAACTATTCTACTTCGTCAAATTTCTAATCCCTCATTATTAACTGGAGACAAGAAAGTTTTGCCCAACTAAAAATATTCTTTCAGAAACAAGTTGAGGCAAAATGTGGTGTACTGTATAAGGAAAAATGTTTCTCTAATTCCAAAATATCAGTCTATGAAAAGCTATTTTGCAGCCTTGCAGTTCAGAAAACCACCGATTCTTGCTTACCACTTGTGATACTTATTTCCTCCATTACGTCAGTCTGAAGCTGTAGCTCTGCTTCTCCCAGTACTTTCAAAACTGAATCTGTAGGACTTTTGCCCCAGTGCTTCCGGTGGTGCTCACCAATATCTAGTTTAATTGCCTCCCCCACAGTGCACTCTGATGGGAAACATGAAAAAGAAGTATGTTTAACATTTACTTCGTTCATATTCTGACAAAACGAAGATGAAGAGAAATCATACAAGCTGCATATACTACCTATCTTTTTGTTTTTTTCACCATTACAACACAGTAAATGACAAAAGGTACTCCCTCATCCCTGCAGCAAATCCAACACTCTAAAGAATTTCACTCTAGGGCCTTAGTTTTAGTAGTTCCCACTGTAATTTCCTGTCTTCAATAGCAAGAGCCACTGTGAAAAAAGAGTTCAGGAGAACAAGCTGTTTTGTCAACAGCTGAAGTACTGCATATCAACCACAGAGAAAACAGTGGTTTCATTCTCACTGCTTGTATTGATCTTGATTTCATACCAACTAGAACCTTACTTTGTGTCCCTAGCAACCTACCTGATGAGAAAGAATGGGGTTAATGCAAATATTTCCTGTCCTTCTAACTTCCTTTGTTGTCCATTTTTGCTAATTCTGGCCAGATGGATGTGCAGGCATGTGGAGTTAGTGGCACTGAAAACTTCTTTGTGATGCCACAAACTGCACGCCTGGAATATTAAAATGTGCTCTGTGCTGCAACTTTGCAGCACAGGGGCAAAATTGTCAGCCAGAAAATCCTGGTAGCAAAAAACAAAACAAACAAAAAAATGCTGTGAAAAAGTGGTGTGGAGCAAGTCACAGGAGTGCATGCCAGCAGACACAGAGGCTTGGTCCTCTAGAGCAGGGGCTTTCAACCTTTGTAAATAAGTATACCCCCAGCATCACACTTTTTAATAAGTGTTCCCCCGAGGGAGGGTGAGCAGCCAGATGTGGAGCGGAGTGGGGGGGGGCGGGGTGGCAACAAGGTTCCCTCTAAGATGTGTGCGCACGCAGCCAAGCACAACTAAAAAAGTGTGGCTGCGCACATCCTTTTCAAGGCCATGTCGGACCAAGGCGGTGCACTCATAGACTGCTGCTCCTTAGAGAGAACACTGGGTTGCAAGCAGCAGCAGTGTGGTGTCTGTGTGGCCCTGCTCTCATGCCACCCAGGCCCTACTCCTGTGAGACAGTGCTGCAGGGTGGCAGCACTCTGTCCCCATGTACACTCTGGGACCTTTCAAAGTACCCACAATTGACAACCTGTGCTCTAGAGAGATGTTTTGGATGCTCTGGCTCTGCTAGCCAGGAGCATCTCCCCTCCTTCACTTCTCCCAGCTCCAGGTGTGCTGGAGGAGCTGGGGCAGAACTAAAGAGAGGGCAGTTTGCCTCAAGCGGGGCATTCTGCCCTGCACCAAAGGACATATGCAAGGGCAGCAAAAAGTAATGGTGCAAAATCTATGCTGCTACTATTTTTGCTGCTGCAAGTGCACGCCCCTGCATGTGGAGATGTGCCCTTAGGCCGTTGGTACACATTAACTGGTTAATCACATCTTAAGTGTAAATCACTGATTAAGTTGTTACCCAGGCACACATTAATGCAATTAATGGTGTGATAAAAAAGGAGTAAGCACAAAGTTTATACATAAAATGTGTAATAACTTTGTGGCTTGTTCTTATCACACCATTAACTGAACATGTGGCTAGGCTACAGCTCCCAGCAGCGAACTGCACCCCCAAAACTGGGAGCCCCATCAGGTGACAGCTTCCAGCCTCAGGAATGCTTGGTGGGATCCCCAATCATTTTTCACAAAAAAGCACTTAAAAGGGTTAATTTCAGTGCTAAAATCATTTTGTAAGTTTGGGAAATTTAACTCTGCTCGGCAGATTCTTTTTGTTTCCTATGGAATTAACATCTCATTTTAAAACTAACTGTGTTAGATTTTAGCAACACACCAGCCACACTGATTCTCTCTTTTTCAGCAAGGACATTTAATCCCTGTTAAAAGTGAAAAAGAATAAGGGAAATTATTAAAGTGTTACTTTTAAGCTTCAAATGCCATATATGCTTTTCCTTTTTGTAAATGCAGCTATGTTTGCAGTGGGAGCATATCTAAATAACTTTATAGAGCCTTAACCTAAATTAACCTCTTCACAGCTGACTTGCTAGGAATATTCAATCACGTGATTTGTATATTAATTCCAAAAATAGAACATAACCACCTACAATGTTTTAAAGAGCACAGACAAAAAAGCAGTGTTAACTACAAAGACAGTGTTTACTGCTGTTTAGACTAGCAGTCAGCAACCTTTCAGGAGCAGCAGATTGCTTTAATGGAGCTAGATCCAAAGGCTCAAAGTCACCACTTCTGACCCAGCCACTGATTATTTCCCTCCTGCCCACCCCCTACCAGTGCCAACCTGATGCCAAATTGTTGCCAATGTACTGTCTTTGCCAGCCATAGGCCATAAGTTGCCAGTTCCTGGCTTAGAAAATGAAGAGTTATAATTATAGAGCACTTATTGTTCTGACACTATGCATAGCAGATTGGTACAATGATGACTAAACCTTTCAAACAAGAAAGTGTGCTTACTCTCTGTCCCAGACAATGTTTCTTCCATTGTTAGTTCTGCTAGAGGAACCACTAACTCAGCTGCCTCTGGTTTCCATTTCTTGCGATCCCCTGGATATTTTACTTCATGCTGTTCCTTACTATCTTCAGTCACCTCTGTTGCACAGATGTCTTGAGGCTCCTTTTTGACTTTTGCATCCTCCTGGGCTTTAAGATTTTGATTCAGTCTTCTCAGTATTTCTCGCTTATTCTAAGAAAGAGCCAGAAACATGCCACAAACTTGACACTCAGAAGGGAAAGGAATAGACCAGTGAACAGAAATTTGAAAATTTAACCTACTTGGATGGCATTATCTGGCCTTTTTATTTCTTCAGAGGTTTCTGGGACAGAAGCTGCATTTTCATCCTTTAAATCCAGGGGGCACAAAATACAACACAGGATAACAGGTCAGAAAAATACACTCAGAGTGTTAAGAACCCATACTAGGAGAAGAAAGAATTAACCTTTCTAACATCTTTCCATTTACAACAGTACAATGAATATTTTAAACTTCTGAACAAATGTTTGTATCATTCACTAAATAGAAACTGACAGTTAAAAACAACAACAAAAAAAATCAATAGATTAAGCAAATAAAAAAGGTTCAGAACAGGAATTGTGTGATAGGAAAGTTAAAGTTGGGACTGTTCTACAGATCAGACATCCTAGTCTGAAGTTAGGAATAGGTCAAAGGAATAGGTTCTCTCCTGAAAAACAAGAGAAAAGTACAAGGACACACTTAAGGTATTTCCTAGGCAAAATGAAAAAAGGGGGGTAAATCTAAAAATGTCACTGGAAATGAAAGGAGGAAATAGAGAACAATGAGCTTTAAGTAAATCATAAGAATAACAGAAACAGCAGTTTCTTGATATTCCAGCACAAACAAATCAACAGCATCAGAAGATTTACCATCAAAAAGAAAGATGGAAGGGACCGCAGGTGATTTAGTTCAGTGTTAAAGGATAATCTGTGTGTAAATCATCCCATTCAAGTGTTTGTCTAGCCTGCTCTTTGAGATTTTAAGGATGGAAATCCCACAACCTCTCTAGATAACCTGTTGCAATTCCTAATCACCCTCTTAGTGAGAAAGTTCTTCCTAATATTGAACCTAAATTCTCCTGGAATTTGAGACCATTGCTCCTACCTCTGCTATTTGTGACTGAAGCATCTCCATTCTCTATATAACCACTCTTCAGGTATTTGAAGACTTATCAAATGCCCTCTCAGTCTTCTCTTCTCCAGACTAAATAATCCTAGTTCTTTCAGGCTTTCCTCATAAAACACGTTTACCAGCCCTCTAATAATCTTTGTTAATCTCTGTTGAACTCCCTCCAATCTGTCCACATCCTTGTTGAAGTGTGGGCCCCAAACTGGACACAGTACACTCCAGGTGTGGCTTCATCAGTGCTGACTAGAATGGAAGAATCATTTCCTCATTTGCAAGTGATATTCCTACTATTGCCCACCCCCTTTTTTCTTTCCCCAAAGAAAAGCTAACTTGCCTCATATTCATCTTAACATCCAGGTATTTTTCTGCAGTACTATAGCCTAGCCAGTCATTCCTCAGTCTGTATTTGTGCATGTAACTGTTCCCTCCAAAGTGTAGGACTTTGCATTTGTCCTTGTTTAATTTAATTCGTATGATTTTTGGACCATTTCTCCAGTTTATCAAAGTCATGCTGGATCCCAACTCGTCCCCCTGTAGAATGGCAGCAACTCCACCAAGCTTGGTGACATCACGCAAGATCACCAATGACACTAAAAACTTTGGGGCAGAGCATCCACACCTGAGGATAGGCTGATGATCCAGGTTGACTTGGATAGGCTTAGAAAGTGGGCGGATATAAACCTGATGATGTTCAATACCAAAAAATGCAAGGTATTCCACCTTTGGGGGGGATGGGGGGATGGACCCACAGCATGTTTACAGGCTCAGCAGTGCTATGCTTGCTAGCATCACAGCCAAAAGAGACTTGGGAGTCATGACTGACCACAAGATGAACATGAGCCACCAATGTGATGTCGCAGCTGGTAAAGTGAACAAAATTCTGGTTTGCATCCATAGAAATTTACCTGCTTCAGGTAAATCTAAGGATGTCAACCTCCTGTTGTACTCAGCCTTGGTGAGGCCGCAGCTGGAGTACTGCATCCAATTCTGGGCTCCACAACTCAAGAAGGATGTGGAGAAGCTTGAGAGAGTCCAGTGGAGAACCACACACACGCACGATCAGAGGGCAGGAAAACAGGCCTTATGATGAGAAGCTGAGAGCTATGGGACTCTTCAACCTGGAAAAGAGCAGGCTCAAGGGGGACCTGGTGGCAGCCTATAAGTACATCAGGTGTAACATCAGGGTCTGGGGAAATGTCTATACACCAGAGCACCCCAAGTGACGACAAGGACCAATGGTCACAAACTCCTCCAAAACCATTTTAGGCAGGACATAAGGAAAAACATCTTTACTGTCCGAGCCCCCAAGACCTGGAATAGACTCCCTCCAGAGGTGGTGCAGGGACCTATTCTGGACTCTTAAGAAACATCTGGATGCTTATCTTGCTGGGATCCTTTGACCCTAGCTGACTTCCTCCCCTGAGGCAGGGGGCTGGACGTGATCTGTCGAGGTCCCTTCCAGCCCTAATGTTTATGAAATCTGTGAAGATGAGGAAAGGTGGAGCCACAATTATGCCAAAAAGGCAAAATGTTCATTTCAGGCACTGTACAGACCCTGCCAATAGCTATTTCCTACTTGTGTCTGCACATACATTTAGGTGAAGGCAGTATTGAAATCACTCTTGTATTTAACATCCTTATTATTTAAATTTAACTTTCTAGATTTAAAAATACTATTTTCAGGGACTATTTGAATTTTGCATAAAATCGTCATTTGGAATGTAATTTTGCTTAAGAAAATATTTGAAACAAATTATTTTTTTAAAATGTCCTTGAAATATTTCAGATTTTAAATCAGGTCCCTACAGCAAATGAAATAAATCCTTAAAAAAATACAAAAAAATACAAGAGAAGATAGTGCATGAAATACCTACATACACCTCAGGGATGGGACAGCTTTAAAAAAAAAAACCAAACCAACCATCCCATGAGAATTGTTCCCATTTGCTATAATTTGAAGACAAGGAGCTGCCAAGCCTGCTTTCTCTGACCTACCAGTTTCACTCAAAACATATAGACACCCAACACATTTCACTCCAAGGAGCAAAACTGAGGTGTAGATGCAGAGTTATGCAATTAGGGGTAACGAAAGGACATAGTTGTGAAAAATTATATACATGCTTGAGAAGAGTGCATCCAACATGGACTGGAGAGGTTCTAGGATTTTTAATCCAAGTTTTTCAGTTTTGTTATTCAGAAGTACTTACAAGTACATAAACACTTGAAAGATCTAGTCTGTGCAGCCACAGGGAAAGGCAACTACTAATGAGTAGAATTAGCTGCCACTGATATGAAAGAGAAAGTTCTTCAATTTGTACAGCACTGAAAAGCATGATTTACTAGAATACAAGAAGATGAGCAGGTCATTAGATAATACAGCTCAGTATAAAGATATTTTTCAGAACTTAAGGTAATGATTTTAACTAGATGGTATTAACTACTGCTGATTAATATTTTGATCAGCGATTGGAGTACCCAGCATTAATGTATGAAGGTATTTGATCCTACATGCTTAGAGTTGAAAGAGGCTGAAGGAAATAAGCAACTGAAACACTTTTTCTGAGGAAAAATAAGTTGTGTCAAGACCTGTTAATAAGCATGACAAAGATTTGGAGTTAATACAAAAACAGAAAGAAAAAAAAAATCAGGTTTTTTTCATATTTTTCAGGATCAAATGTACTATAGCATAAGACTAATCTACTGAAGGGGAACAACACAACACTGATTAAATTTGATGGCCTTGCAAATAGGACATTTTTTGGCACCATGAGAGTCACTGAAATGAATCCACAGTGATAATTTACGTATATGTTTCAGGCCTTCCAGCAGCTATTCAACATCATTTTCATTCAGGAAGAATATATGTTCATCTTCAACATCACAAATCAGCAAAGATGATACCATGGGAACTGAAAAAGGTATAGATTTGGAACTTGCAAAAACATTACAGTTTTCAATGAAGCATAAATCAAATAATTCAAAGAAATGATTGAAGGCCATTATCTCGCACAGACTTTTGTAAAAAGTTTGAATTGAAAGATTTACTACTAGATGCTGATGGTAAAGAAACCAGGGCAAAAAGTCACAGCAAGATTTAACAGTGCAACTAATATTCATGCAAGATAGTTTGGTGCATGTAAGGGGGGAAAATATATTCCTATAAAAAGTTACATTATGTGCCTGAAAAAAAAAAAACAAACCCCTACAGAAACGTGTGTTCAAATAAATTCAGATATTACTGTAAATTCCAATTTTGTAAATACTTCTTCATATGCTTAACTTCTGCTACTACAAGCAGTCCCATTTAATATCAGCTTGACCCGCTTGCAGTGTTACAGTCAAAGGTATAACCACTTGCAGGATTAAATATCCCAAAAACATAGAATGATGTGTTCGCACTGTTTCCAAAAACACATACAATAGCAAGAACATCCCATGCAGTCATCCTCAGAAATATTTAGTATACTATTCAAAAACTCATTAAGAAGTAACATAAAATACAGCCCTATAGTTCAAAAATCTATAAATTAAACTAACAGTACTTCAACACTGAAAAGAACTTTCCCTTGCACGTCTACAGAAGCAATTCTTCTGTCCTACTCAGCACTGATGAGGCTTGATTACTGCTGTCCAAGTTTGCACACCATATTTCAAGAAAGATGTGGTCAAATTAGAAAATTTCTGCCCACCAGAAAAAACGTCATATGAGAGAAGGCTGGAAGATCTAAGATTATTTCCATGTTTTAAAGTTTTTAAGACCAGGTTTGACAAACACTTGGATAAAATGATCTCCCTTCAGTAAGGGGTTGGACTATATGACCTGTTGAGATCTCTCCCAGCCCATTTTTCCCCCTGAGGCATCCAGTTCTAATTAAAAACATACAATGTTTCAAAATACCAGAAGTTCTTGAATGAATACATATTCTTCAAATCTCACAAACTGGTAGATTTGTCTCCTGTTTCTTCATTGGTTTTAAATGTTGGTGGAGTACCTACCGCACCCACTTCCTTCAATGCAGAAGTCATGGAGATGATGGGTGAACTGGGCTTAAGTGGAGGCTGTGGTTTGACAGAAGGTACTTCAGGTTCATGATGACCAGGCACAGGACTAGCTCCTGCTGCTGCCACATGGAAAGGCATATTAGAATTCTTTACCCCTTTGGCTGCCAACTGTGGAAAAACAGAACAAAACCATGCTACAGTAATACAAACCAACAAGCGAAATACATCAGAGTCCTGTTACATTCATAAGCCTTCTTATATTTGTGTTGTTACCAGTTTAAATAAATCCTTGAATCAGTAGGTATATTATGAATTTTGCTTTCAAAAGAAGTAATCTTAAATGACAAACAGTTTTCCTTGGAAGGCAGGTTTTGAGAGAACACCACATGGTATTATCAGAATGATGTCACAGCTGTGATGGTCAAGGATGCATCTCTCATTTATTAGCAACCTGATAATTTCTTATATGTTATTTTTGTTTACATACACACATCTTTGTTTTATCTGCTAACGAGCTCTTCTACATCTGCCTTTTTTCCCCCCTCAGAGACATGAAGAATGGTACAGTGGTACCCAGAAACTCATCTGTCTCTTCCCAAACGTGCACGCGATGCAATAAAAGACATCACCAACAAAAAAATTGCTCTCTTGCATTTTGGAAGATCAGCACCTTACATTAAGAACTCAACTCACGTAAGAGTACCTGTGCATGGTACTTATATAATACCACGTGGGCCAAGTGATCCAGGGGTGCCCAACCTGTGGCTCATGTGCCACAAGTGTCACACAGCTGCTGTATGTGGCACATGAGCCCTGGGCACCCAGTGAACAGGAGGCATTAGAATAGAGACAGGTAGTCAAGCAGCCAGTAGAGCAGAGGAGGGGCAGGTCAATGCTGCAGTAAGTGGTGTCAGGTGTCACTACCAAGAGCCAGGTTTACCCTTCCCTGGCCCTCAGGGAATTCAAGGCTTCAGATCCTCATTCACTATAGAAAACTGTAGCTGTTGCAGGACCAGGGAAGGGTTACCTGGCTCTTGGTAATGACAGCTCCTCTTGCACCAATGTCTTGCCCCTGCTCTGCGTGGCTGAAGGTTCGAGTCTCCCAGCCTACATTCCAAACACTTGGACGCAAACCCGTATCAGGTATACCTTGGGCAGCATGGGTTACAGCAGCACTTGTGGGGGACAGAACTTAATTTGTGGCATACCTGGCAAGAAGGTTAGCCACCTCTGATCTAATTTAACCAAACCTAAGAAGAGATTACTACAGTGGAAGAAATAAAGGTTCTGCATGTAAGCCTAAATTGTGGTCACATAATTAAAAGGAAGTAAGAGACATAGGGAAAGCTTGCTGAACTGATGTGAAGACAGCTAGACCCATGGACTGTAGAAAATATCAAAGCAACAGCAAAATAAACCAGTGAGCTAGTGATTTACAGTAAAATCTACTGACAAAATAGGTGATGTTTGAAGACAAGGGCTCAACATGATCTCAATTTTTGATAGTTAAAAAAACACTTCAGCAATCCCTTTAAAAGGAAGAGTATTAAAGATTCTATGCATAGAGACTTTAAAGTCTTGGAAGGGGAGAAGCAAAATGACATCTGAAAGCATATCTACTTATTGATAGGGAAACACAAGACAGCAATTATTCATAGAATCACAGAATCAATGAGTCGGAAGGGACCTAGACAGATCATCTAGTCCAACCCCCTGCCATAGGCAGGAAGGAGCACTGGGGGTGGGAGGAGTCATAAGACCCCAGCCAGGTGCCTATCCAGGCTCCTTTTGAAGATTTCCAGGGAAGGTGAGAGCACCACCTCTCTGGGAAGCCTATTCCAGGCTCTGGCCACACTTACAGTGAAGAAGTTCTTCCTAATATCTAACCTAAACCTATCCTCCCTCAGCTTATGGCCATTGTTCCTGGCGACTCCAAGGGGGGCCCTGGTGAACAGACTTTTCCCGAGTCCCTGTTGGTGGCCCCTGATAAGGTTGTAGGCAGCCACAAGATCCCCCCTCAGTCTCCTTTTGCGGAGACTGAAGAGATTCAGGTCCCTCAGCCTCTCCTCATAGGGCTGGCCACAGAGGCCCCTGACCATATGAGTGGCCCTCCTCTGGACCCTCTCCAGGTTCTCCATGTCCTTCTTGAAGTGCGGCTCCCAGAACTGGACACAGTATTCCAGCTGCAGCCTGACCAGCGCCGCGTAGAGGGGGAGCAAGACCTCTCTGGACCTGTTAGTGATGCCCCTGTTGATGCATGACAGGGTGAAGCAATAGGCAGAGCCAACCGCTTCATCGCATTGGCGACTCATATTTATCCTGGAGTCAATCCTGACTCCAAGATCCCTCTCTGCCTCCGTGCTGCTGAGAGGGTCAGCCCCTAACCTATAACCATAAAACTATTATTGGTACCTTCCCACACTTGAATTCTTACCCAAGATCTTTCTTTTAGCATCCACATGTGAAAAGGAACAGCGATCTTAAATATCATTTTATGTACACCTGCTTTTGTAAATCACATGCTTTCAATATTTAATTTTGTTTAAATACAGAATGGCAGTGCCACCAAGTGAAACAAAGTAGCACCATAGCCTAGCAAATATTGACAGCAATAATAATTTACATAAATTCTAGCTAGTCCTGTAGCTTATTGCATCAGTAGAAACTAGCTGAAATGCATCCTTCTAATCATTACTTGTTTATTCATTAAATAATTTATACGAGTTGAGCACAAACTTATCAAATGACAAGCTGATAAGTACCACAAAAAGGGACAAGTAATTTCACACACGATTTCATCCTGATTAAAAGGATTGTCAGCTGTATGTTATTTCCTATTTACTGGCCTCATAATACCTTCCTTTTAAAGCAGCGATATTACATATTTGACTTTGCACTCCAGAGAGTTTATGAGCAAAAGAAACAGTTATGCACATTTCAGTAAGTTAGAGACCATCACCAAATACTTCAAGGTTAAATCAATAATTTTTCACGTTTGATAAATACTTTAAACTCAGGCCAAAATTTTCATGCCTGGGTGACTGATGTAAATCTTCTAAATAAGAGTAACCTGGCTCTCCCAGAGTCTCATTTTTGTACAAAAGCTAAAGCTACAGTAAACTAGACTTGAAAATCTTAATTTTTTAGACACTGCATTCTTTGGCTGAGAGATGAAAAGTCAAGTAGTGATCATTCCACATAGAACTATGCTATAAAACATCTTACATGTTCTTCCCAAGCTCTCTTCTCTCTTTCATATGCTTCTTTTCTCTTTCGCTCTAGCTGTTCTTTCAGAACTGCAGCTCTTGCATTTGCTTGGGCCTACAAATAAGAAACCAGCAGACTTTAAACTAGCATTACAACCAATAGCTTTCCAACTTCATTCCATGGGCCACTTAAAAAAAACAAAACAAACAAAAAAAACCTCACACACTGCCTCGCTTCCTAAAATCCAAATCCTACATTTTTTAAATTCTCAAAAAGAGCTCCGTTTTGCACAGCATGAGAAAGGGTTTTTCAGGCCACAGGAGAGCCATGACCAGATGTGATAACTAATGTCACACTTGAAATAGGCAACATCAGAAAGAATTTACTTAAGCTCATTTCTAAAGAACTTTAAACAAATCAACAGCTTATTCTGTCCTCAAGTCATTTTCCTGGATGATACTAAAGGAATTAAAAATTTAATTGTGCATTTCATCCAAACAAAATACAAATTAAAAAAAATCATTGGACTAATGCAGTTTTAGAACAAAAATTTCAACCACACACACACGTAAAATGAAGTTTGTGCTTTGTAGAAAATATCATCAAATTATGCAAGTTGAACATTAGAGAGTTTCTGTAAATAAAATATATAAAGAGGTATCAAATCAGTTACATTAAGAAACATAAAAACTGTGTGTGTGTGTGCGCGCGCGCGTGTATATATGTGTGCGTGTGTGTAGATCCTAGTTATACACAATCCCGTCATCTGTATACACGTGCATTTATTAACAGATTCATCTTATAACCAAATTTAACATTTAAACATATGCACACAAGCACACTTTTAAATGTTAAATTTGTTAGTTGATAAACTCAATCTGTTAATAAGCACACAAAAAACACTTTCTCTCCTTGAAGTAAACTTAATTAAGCATAACCTACTAATGTTTGTTTTTACATTATATTTCTTTCTATCAACTGAAGTGGCCAGTTGTACCTTGTATAAATATGTGCAGTGCAGTTACATTGTTGCTTCACATGCTGCTGTTGCAACAGAATTCAGAACACTCTATAGGTTGTGTGTCTATATACTGTTGAAGAACATAGATCTAGAAACTTTCTTTATTAGAGAAGCATAACTTTGAAATTAAGGTATAAATCAGCATTTAAAACAGCGCGTTTGTCAGGTCTGAAAAAGCACGGTGAAAACATTGCAATGTTTTGCAGGTGCTCTTTTCCTGCCCTTACTTAGTTAATATAAAACTAACAAAAATAAATGAAGTAGTCATGGTGCACTCTCTTTCCCCCATCAACTCCAATCCATCTTGCTTATACCAAATGGTCTTCAGGGCCAAGACAAACATGAGAAAAAAGTCAGTCAAAATGAATTTCATTTTAAACGTATCATAAATACTAAAACCCATTCTAGTCATGTTAAGTGACAGATAACTTTAACAGCTTTGACATTGCAATATAATATAAAGCGTTTATGGCTCCATCTTCTGCAAACAGCATCAAATAATGTCTGTATTGAAAGACTGAATTTGAATGATTCATTTCAGCTGAGATTATTTAGTCTGAGAACTATTCATTGTGCATATTTGTAGGAAATACATATTTTGATACTGGAAAATATGTACCAATATTTAGTGTATTGCCTATATTTACTTACGGAAGTATCAAAAACACTGCAATGAAACAACTACTGCAGATGGAAAATGACTAATTTTAAAATAAGGCTACTATATGCCTTTAGCCCAGTAAGCTGTACAGACATTTGCTCTCGCAGGAGAAACTCTCCCGGGATATATTCCCAGGTTATTTTTTTCTTGGAGTGGCCATTTTCTGTTTTGGAAGAAAAAGCACGAACATCTCTACACTCATGGTTTTTCTTGAGAGCAGTGACTGTCCCAGGAGAAACTGAATACCTGTTTATGGCCCAAATCAATTCAGATAAGAGAATATTAAATACATGTTTTTTAAAGAATTTACTGTAACATTTTTCAATTACCTTCAGTGCTTCGATTTTCTTGAGTCTCAGTTCTGCTTCTTCACTTGCTTCTTGTCCGTCAGAACTGCCAGAATCATTCTACAAAACAGTTCCTTGAAGAGTGAGCAAATCAATGTTGGCTGACAGGTTCATCAGACGAAGGCCAGAAAGAATTATCGTCTTTCTGACTGAACTAAAGAGCATCTTAAATTTATTTGTTTGTATGATCACCAAACAACTTCAAGGTAAACAGACTATTCCAACTTTTCTCTGAGCCTAATCTGCATATACAGTGAACTGTTCCAAACAGGGGATTTTACCATACCTTCAACTCTCACGAAATATGAACTTTCATTTATACCCAGAAAAACTTTTACAATCTTTTCTCCAAAGCCTGATGAAGGGTGTTTGTGCCTGAAAGCTTGCAATTAAAGACTTTTTTTTTTGCAAAAGTCTAGTTGGTCTAATAAAAGATATCACCTCTACCACGAGTCCCGATAACTGATAGATCCTGATAACTTGTAGGATTTAGAATTTGCCCCAAAGAGCTCTAAAAGTAAATCATTCTTGATTTCTCATTCAAGTGCCCTCAGCACACTCATGCCTGGGACAGATGAGCAAGTGCTAGACCAATAAAAAAAGAGAGAGAGAAAGAGCCCTAAAGAGCCCTAATAGAATGGCTCCTTACTGACTGAGAAAGAGGGATGACAACCAAGCTAAAGGCCTCTTTAATTGAGACTTTAACCCATCCTTATGACCTTTGGGAAAATGTAGCTGTCTTTTTATTTTTAGCAAAGGAAACAGATTGGAGGAACATCTGAACAAGAAAGCAAAGCTGTCTTGTTTCTTGCGCTCAGAGTAAGAAATACAGACACCCTGAGGGAAAATGTTACTCTCCAAGGTAGGCAAGACACCTCATATCCACATCTAGTGCTAGAGGTCAGAGGCACAGTGTTTAGAGCCTGGCTTCTTAATCTCTAGTTCCACCGTCTGGACAGCCTGGTGAAAATGTGGTGGGGCTACTCGTGGCAGCGTAGCTCCTGTAAAATACCACAATGTTGCACCTCCAAAGTCAGGTGAGTATAGGGTGTCTCAAAACCCTAACCCCCACTGCATTGTGAATACACCTTGGTTGGACAGAGGCTAAAAATCATCACCATGACAGAAATGTGCCCTCACCGAGGCAACAGGGAATCAGCAGCAGTTCTTATCTGTTGCTCTCTGGCAGAAGCTACAATCATCAAGACACAGAACATCTGTTTGGCCTTTGGATTCTGTCTCAATGGTCTAAAAGAGGGGACGGTAGGTCTTGGGCAGCCTCCACAACTCCTTACTCTTGCCTAGGTGTACACATTGAAGGTCTTGGTGTGATGGTTGTAGGACTCTGTATAGGCAAATTCATCAGGCACCTGACTAGACCTCATATGTGCACCACAATCCAGAGCAGTATTTCCCAACCTTTTGGTTCCGATGGTGGCGGCACACTTACTGGGCCTCTCCCATCCTGCGGCACACCAGACAAATGCGGAGCGGCAGTGGAGGGTGTGGGGAGGAGGATGGCGAGTGGCCAGGTGCAGATCTGGGGGAGGGCGGGGGGCAAACATGGCACAGATGCAAAAAAAAAAAATAAAATCACTGGCTGGAGCCATGCCCCACCTCCATCTGCCTGCCCATGGCAGCAGCAGGTGGGGGGCGTGGGTCTAGCCAGCAAAGGGCGTGGCTTTAACCCAAAATTCTGCGGCACACCAGTTGGGAAATGCTGATCCAGAGGATTAATGGTTGCCTATTGGAGCCAAGCAGTAAAACAGAAGGGTTTAGAGCACTGAGCACTTCCTGACCTTCCCTTTCCTGATCTTTTACTACTGACAGATGAAAGGAAGCAAGACTTGTCCTACACGCTCTTACAGCATTGCCTATGGTATATTCAGTAAAAAGGAGAATAAGAATAGGAAGGGGAAGTAAGATTGTGCTGACAGGCATTGCTTATTAAGGTTATATTATGCAAGTTACAACTGGCTGGCACCTTCCAGAATCTGGCATAACCACTCAAGAGACCACATCTAAAAGAAGGAAGTATCCTAATGCATGTTCCCCAGAGATGAGATTAACATATACAAAAGGTAGGATTGAAAGCTCAAACTGCACAACCTAAACTTTGCATTGGCAGTTTCTTTTACAATACAATTCTTTTCCAGAGTTATACATATTTTGAAGGAATAAGCCCCCAATTCCAAACAGACAACAGCCAACAAAAGCAAAAAGGTGCACATCACTACTGGATAGTTTTTATACTTGTATAATTAACACTTTCCAATCAGAAAAATATATGCACCAGAACTAGAAATATACTTCATCTTATATCTCAATATAATATAAATCTTTAATAGAGCAAAAACACCTCTTGAAAGTCCCTAGAGACTGGGCTGCAAACATTTAAATGTAAGAAAGTTCCGCCCCAGCCCACAATTAAAATCAGCTTAAACTGCTTTTATCTATTGATGACACTTTTAAAGACTTATAGTGTATAAGAACACGATATAAAAAATGTGAATATACCAAGGAGGACAGTGAAGTACTGATAATTTAGTGGGGAAAAGTCTGTTAGTTCAGAATTCATGCTACCTTTCTTTTTCTTTTTGTTTGCACATTTCTATTTTTCTAAAATAGGAAAGTTCTTGTACTCACTCCGCTCAAGAGCTAAATTTATTTTGTTTATATCTTATGAAAAAGAAATAATTTTCTATACAGGCTGAACATAGGAAATGCACCCTAACAGTATTTTACAAGCAATTATATATCTACCAGAAGAATTTTTAATTAGCCATATCAGGGAAAATCTTTCACTGACAACTCCTGAAAGCTTTGGTGTTATTTTTCAACCAACCTTTTCTCCACGAAGTTTTGCTTTAATTTGTTGACGTTCATTGAAGTTTTGAAGCCTAATCTGCCTTAATCTTGCCAAATACTCCTAGAAAACAAAGGAAGCAAGTCTCAAATTAGAAGGATACCAGCATATTATGTGTACAAAAAAAATTAATCAAAAAATGAAATAAAGAAAAAATACTGCTAACTTATTATTTATTTCTAAAAGAAATTCTATATTTTTTCTTCAATAGAATTAAAAAATCGAAATTTAGGTTCCTTAATATTAAATTACCATAACATTGGTAGAATTAAGGGAACTAGTAGATATATGTAATACAACGGGGCTAGGGTAACAGAGTTGTAATTTTTTTATGATGGTGTTCATTCTGCTTAACAAGGAAATGTAAATTAATATTTTGAGATAAAACTCTTTTGGTAGGTATTTTGTACAATTATTAAATACCAAAATCTAGGATTGGATCTAATATCCCTGGGGAATCTATGAAGCCCTTTTTTGAGTTTTACATACAAACCATGCAGGAAAACAAGGAAGAGTCAAAGTCAAGTGATGCTATTTGTGTGATGAAGGTGGCAAACATGCGGCAAGCATACCTCTTCCTCCTTGTTTCTGGACTTCCTTCCTCTCGCAGAATTGGACCTGCCTCCATAGATAGCTGCCACGTTTTGCAGTGTGCCCTGTTCACCATTTAATGTATCAAATTTAAGAATGGCTGGGGCTATAACATTTTCTATCTTATCCAATAACAACTGGATTAAAAGTTCCTATACGAAACACGGATGACTTGCAGCTCTTACAAAAACTTCACTGACAAACCTTTTGTTTACAAGAAACATTTTACTGTGATATTTAAAACGGTTGAGTAATTAAAGAGAAAGCTCAAGAACATTCTAATAAAGATTTTTCTCATTCAAACTGAACTTCTTCTTTTGGTCTTCCAGTGAATCTAGTCTTTCATATTTTGGACTGCAAATTCTGGGTGACTGAGTACTTTTTTTTTGATTTAACATATAACTGTAGTTGGTGTTCCAATTAATGCCAATGCATTTTTTAACAAATTTAGAATACGTAATTATTTTAACTCTTATAAACATAAAATATGCGATGCTAATATTTCAGTGAGTACTTGTTAAACTATTAACAAAACTGCTCTAAAATACTTATCACAGTATTGTTGCATTACATTGATGTACACTGCAAAGTGAACGCTAAAGCCATGTTTTGCTGTCCTGCACATCAAAATGTTTTCATACAAAATTAATATTAAAAATAACAAACACTTCTTGGTTGAGTTTACTAAAGCACTGACTCCAATTAAAATGTTTGTTTTCATATTTGCAAACACAATGATAGAAAAAGGATAACAAAATCTGCTTTTTACACTGATTCTACTAGAATTAACAAAGGCTAAATCAAATACATTGTGATACTTTAAATTAGAAAGGAGTCAAAATTGTGTAAAAGGGAGCCAGATGTTTTGAAGAGTAAATGTGACCAATATTATAGTTAAATGGCCTGGCTGGCACAGACATATCTCCAATGAACATACCACTTCAGCTTCAAGTTTGGAGAACTTAACGATCTTGTTTATAAGTTAAATTAATGGATCTTCAACAGATCAAGACCCAGCAGAGTAATACTTTATTCAGACAGTGCCAAAGTTGGACAAGTTGAGAGAAGGTGTTTAAGAACAGTTGAATTTAAATTATAAAAACCCCACCAATTAAAATCATGAAAGTTTATAAAAATATTAAGACTCAACCTCATTCTCCCTCTACCAAAACATACACACTATTAAAAGCTAATGTTTGTCAAAGCTACTTTGATTTCTACAACTTCAAAATGAATATTATAATTCTTATTGGAAAGGGCAGACAATTTATTGTACAGTGTTCCATTTCTCTAAACAAAAATTTAAAATAAAATGGAAGCATCTGTAAAGAAATGGTCTGGAGTGGGACATTAGTAAAAGGAATCAAACATGGCCCCTCTGAATCTAGAAGATTAAGATGAGTAAATAGAAAATTCAGTTAAAAGAAACTTTTTAGTTTAAATAAAATATGGTTTAAATGTGACACTTTTAAAGAAAGAATGTAAATTAAGACAGTGAATAATGTGCATTAAGGCCTACACTTATTGCACACAAGTATTTTAAATAAAAATTAATACTTAACAGTGTATTTTTGCTGAAATTAAAAAGGTCAAATCACAGAACTAGTAGAACTGAGTAAGGAACAACAACTTGCTGAAGAGTTAAAAGCAGCTTTTGACAAAAGCAGCCTCTTCTGCAAGGGCAGAGAATACTTCCTTTATTTCAAGGATGTCAAAGATATAGCCCGTGGGCCATATTTGGCTAGTGGAACATTAGCACTTAGCACCTGGTGCTGCCTGTGGGTCTTGGAGTTGACCCACAGGCAGTATGTGGGGTGCACTGGATGGCCTCTGCTCACCACGTACAGCACCTCCTCCAGCTCACGTCCTGGAGAGACAGAGTGGCTGCTACATGTGACATGGCCCTGGAGTGGCCAGAGCAAGACTGTGCTGCACAGGGCACCCACTCAATGATGTGCTAGACCCAGGATCCAGGGCGCTAGTCTGTGGGTCCAATCCAGTTGAAAACTGAAAAAAAATTAAGAAAGAATGCTACCTTCCCCTAATCTATGAACAAATCTAGATGTAAAAAAGTTGCAATTTACTAGTTCAAAAATCATGAAGGATCTGGTAGCCAGGAACAACTAGTTCTAATTTCCTCATAATAGATAATATTTCATTTGTTTAATAAATCAGCTTTAAGTGATAAAAAAGTTTAGAAGTATTTTTATCTACGTGGCACATTTTAAGGTAGTTTTATTTATTTATTCATTTTGAATACTGCTTTTGTGCATTAATTAAATATTGATTTATATGCAAAATGAACTTTGGCACAAATAATTGGTGAAAAACAGATGAACTATTATTTTTCTAATAAAATACATGTAAAAACTAAGAATCCAGTTACATGTATAGAGCATGAAACTGTTTGACAAGTGTGCATGAATATGATGTATGCCCTGGATCACAAGAAAAGAAATCAAATTTAAATGTAAGGGCTGATTTATCAGTCTTAATGGTTACTGTCAAATCATAATTCTCCTCTGAGAGAGAGAGAGAGAAAAAAAAGTAGCAAAAAACAAGATTAAAAATTGATGACTGAAATCAAGGTTTCCTACTTTCTAATTTAAATCACTTTTACACTGTTAATCTACCTCATGCATAAGTCTTCACTAGTTGAGCTAAATAACCCAGATCTATTACTTCAAGGTAAGTAGTCAACTTGTAAATCTGTAAGGTCCAGCCGTAAGTGCCAAAGAGAACTCCACACTCTAACTGAGTTAGGTACCTACGGACAGAAAGTTAGAGGTCTAAGCTGCAGAGGCTCAACCATTTTGAATTCCCATATATGTCAACTTGCAATGCAATTTTCTCTGGGTAATATTTGACTGTAGGGATTGGGTCTAAAATCTGAGTGGGCAACTATTTTGGCCAGAAGGCCACTTAAGAAGTTTAAGTGAGCTGTCACAGGCCAGGTCTTCAGCCCCCTTCCCACCCCCGCCCCCCAAAAAAAGCCCTCCCTAAGTGGCCCCCACATGAGGCTAGGCAGCTGGAATGGGGCTGTGGCTGAGTGGGGAGCTGCATCTGGAAGTGGGAAGGGCAGGCAGGACCAGAGCTGGGATTGGGATTGCAGGGTGGTAACAGTATGGGGATAGGGCCCGGGGCAGAGCCACAATCTGCAGCAGGGCCAGGAACAGCAGCTGGAAAGTTAGCCACCACTAGGGCTGCCAGGAAACAGAGTCCGGGGCAGTGGTACCACCCAGGCTGCCTGATACAACTGGGTTGGGTAGGGCCAAGGGACCTGCTGTAGGCCAGACAAAATACCTTGGTGGACAGGATCTGGCCTGTGGGCTGTATTTTGCCCTTTCTGGGTCTAAAAGGTGTTAGATACAGGCTCTAGCAGATTTAGGGAGTTATACACATAAATGGTTACAACACTATAATATGTTGGGGATAAGGAGATGACTTGCCATTTAGGAGTATGAATCAGGTGCTCCATTATAACTTTAGTCTATTCACTCTTATCCCAAGGTAAGCAACAACTTAACCATGAATGAAATGGAGATAAACTTTCCACTAAATGAAAGCATGCATGTTAGCAAAGCAATCTCCTATTTCAAGAGATTTTGTTTGAAAGGTGACAACTTACATTTTAAGATATATGCACTGAATAAAGCCTGTCAGGATTCTTAGATGCTTGAATGTGGGGGTGCAGATTTTTCACATATGATTACTGGAAATGAAATTAGCCCTACAGAAGAAGGTGGTCGCTCCACAGTGCTCTATACGTACATACACCTAAGTAATAGGACCCAGTTTCAATACTCTTGTCAACCTGACAGCTATAACCAATTCCAGCATGCCCAAAAGTCAACATTATTCATAGATTCCTAGAGTCAGAAGGGACCTCAGTGGGCCATCTAGTCCGACCTGCTGCCCCGGCAGGCAAGGCAACACCAACCCTGGGGTCATGTGATCCCAGCCAGGTGGCCATTGTTCCTTGTCATTCCAGGGGGTGCCCTGGTGAACAGATTGTAACCTATTTCATGTTGCTCTCCCCTTATGAATTTGTACAGTCCCCTCTCAGCCTTCTCTTGGAGAAGCTGAAGAGGTTAAGGTCCCTTAGCCTTTCCCTGTAGGGTGGGGGTGGACAAAATGCAGCCCGTGGGCCGGATGCAGCCCGCCAGGCCATTCTATCCAGCCCTCGGGGCCCTAAAGGTTTAGAGAATTAATATTTATCTGCCCCTGGCTCCCTGTCATGCAGCCCTCGATGGCTTGCCAAACCTCAGTAAGAGGCCCTCCGCCTGAAACAATTGCCCGCCCCCATTTAGAGGCCTGAAGGGAAGGCCCTACACATCAGGCAAGTGGCTCTTCTTTGAACCCTCTCCAGGTTGTTCGCATCCTGCTTGAACTGCAGTGTCCAGAACTGGACACAGTACTCCAGCTGTGGTCTGATCTGTGCCGCAGAGAGAGGGAGAATCACTTCCCTGGACCTGTTTATGAAGCACCTACAGATACACAACAAGGTGCGATTGGCTCTGCCAACTAATTCATCACATTGGCGACTCACGTTCATCCTGGAGTCAACAGCAACTCCAAGATCTTTTTCTGCCTCAGTGGAGCTGAGAAGGTCGCCCCCCCCCCACCCGTAGGTATGATGGCAGTTCTTCCTCCCTAGATGCAGCACCTTGCACTTGTCCTTATTGAACTGCATCCTGTTGCTCTCTGCCCACTTCCCCAGCCTGTCTAGGTCAGCCTGGATCTAGTTCCTCCTCTCCAGAGTGTTAGCTGTACCCCATAATTTTGTGTCATCCGTGAATTTGGACAGGGCACTTCCCACCCCTTTATCTAGATCACTGATGAAGATGTTGAACAGCACCAGCCCCAGAACTGAGTCCTGAGGGACTCTACTGCCCACATCTTTCCAGGTTGACACCGACTTATCCACTACCACCGAGTGTGACCCTTGAGCCAATTTGCTACCCAATCTACTGTGAAATTATATGTGTATTGTTGTACCATGTACTGTATATTGTTGTAACTGGATCACCTGGTTAAGGGTGTTTTTGTGGTATGGATGAATCTTAAAGAAAACAAGAAAGCAGTTCAACTGAACAATTAAAATCCTATGTATTCTAATGTAATAAAAGCCTAAGTCTATCTGTAACATTTTATTCCCACTCTGATTGGCTGCCAAGACAACCAATCACAATGCTGACAGAAATGAGTGCTCCAAGAGTGTTTCAGGCAGGAAGCAGTTGCAGCAGCAGGGATGGAGCAGGGTGGAGAATGAGGACAGCGCTGCTGGCGTGCCCTCCCCACCTGCAGCCCTGCTCTCTGGAGGCAGCATGGGGTACTGGCCAAGGGGGACAGGAGGGCAAGCTCCTCCTCCCCCCGCCCCACTTCTCGGAAGTGGTGTCGGCACAGGGTGGTGGGTGATGGCACTCTGTCTGCACACCCCCGCCCCATCATTCCCAACAAGCAATTGACTAGTATAAAAATTATTTCATTAAAATGTACTATGGTGAAAGGGCTTCCTAAGAATATTAAACGTATAATTAATAGGATAGCTGGACGGGAAAAAAGGTGTATACTTTCAACTTTCAAAGAAGATTTAAAAACCAAAACAAAATGCAAAACTGGAAAAAAAACCCAAAAACTTTGACAATGAGAGTTAAAACATATGTTTAGAGCATAGCCAGTACAGTTTATCAGTATTTTGTAAAGCATGGAAGTGTAGGATGAGGTACAGTAGTTTGACAAACATCACAACTGCAAGCTAGTAAGCAGTGCATAGGGAGCTCTTATGATTAAATAGGTATGGATCGATGGACATACTTTTCAATTTGGTTCTAAAATTTATAACTTCAGCATCTATTAACATGCAGTCGTTTTATTAGATTATCATAAAAATAAAATACCTTTGTAAAATTTTCATGCTACCAATACAACTGAATCAAAGGAGGTTAAAAATAAAAAATACATTTTTCTCACTGTCATAGTCTATTAATATTAAAATAAGTATAGCTAGTGTATGCTAAAAAAAAAGTTTACAATTGTAAAAGAAATACGAAGACAATTTCCATACCATGTGTCCTTCAGCACGAGCTTTGTTTTGCATAGCTTCCCTCTTTCGTTGCCAGAATTCCTCAACTTGTTTTGCTCTTTCTGCAGCTACCCATCCTTTTTGCCTGAGTAATTGCAACATATAGCAAGTTGAAAGTTTCAAAATGAGACATTCAAAATAAGTGTACTGACACAAGGAACTAGCACACAAAGAAAGGCAACACATAGGACCGTTCAGCCTGGAGAAGACTCAGAGGGGATTTGGTGGCAGCCTATAAGTATATCGGGGCATACATCAGGGCTTGGGGGAGCATCTATTCACCAAGGAAAAGACAGGAAAAGACAAGAAATCATGGGCATAAACTAACTGAAGATCGCTGCAGGCTAGACATAAGGAAAAACTTCTTTATAAGTCAAGTCCGATGGTTTGGAACAAACTTCCCCCAGAGGTGGTATAGTCATCTACCCTGGCAATCTGCAAAAAAGTCAGCTAATACTGGTTTTGCAATTAAACTAATTACTTGAACAACTATCCTTTTCAATCAAGGACAATTAAAACGTTTAATATTTTCCCTTCATATATGGTCATTTTGATTTCTACTGGAGGGACCAGAAGGGGCTTGGACAGTATGAGGCTAGTATGATCCATTGCATCGCCACTTATGGAATTAGGACCACAGATGAGAAGTCATAAGAGTTTCTCCCAACCATGGGATGAGGCAGGCATCACACAATGACCTTAAGTTGAGCTCTATGCTGAAGCAAGAGAGCCAGCACTTCCTGTTCATGCCTGAATAATAAAAGTTTAATCTCTGAATGCTAGTTAAAAAAAAACGACCTCTGTATTATAGTACATGGAGATGCATCTATTAAGGCTGTTTACTGTGATATTTTAATACTTGAAAGATGTGCAGAAACAGCAGCTGCTCTGGAAACAAACACACCAGGCTTATAGACTGACCACTTTCCAACACTGGAGAGAATTTGTGCCTCCTTGTTAGTAGGGGTAGTGCATAGGCCATGTGACCCAAGATAGCTAGGTGAAGTCAGGCTGGCCTCCACCTACATGGGTTCCAAGAGGGAATGGAACTGATCTTGAAGAAAGTAAGCTCTGTGCAATAGAATCCAGAGTGGCCTCTATATCTTCCAGCCTCTAAACTCTGAACCAGTTCATTTTCTGGGGTTTCACCTTTAGATGCAAGACACAAAATGCACATAGGATGGCATGGAGGTTTTGTCCAATGTTTAAAGGAATCAACCTTTAGCAGCCAGTTCTTTGGGATTATGTTCCTTCACTACTGCAAGGGCCTTGGCTCATGGGTCCATCAGGAGGCCAAGAAATAGAATCCTATATTGGTAACGTTCCCGGCCTACCACAAAGTGAAAGTAGAGTATATTCTGTAGTAAGGCAAAATAGTGTGAAAATACAGGTCCACTAGATAGAGAAATATGAACATAATCCCCTATTACTAGCCAGAGAATTTTGTCAGCTATACTACCATGATAAACTTGAACTAACAAACGAAAGAGTTAAAGTTCAATTTGAGGTGTCACCTTCATTTTCTGGTTCTAAAAAGAAAAAGACTGCTGTAAAAAGCTCTTCACCTATATTGCAAAAGAACTTATTTTATAGCCCTTAACAGTAGGAGAGATGGCTTCCTATCATAGGAACATATTGAGAAGGGTCTGTGAAAAGGGACAGGAAAGGGGAGTTGAGAGTAAACACCAGGCTTTAGTGGATCCTACAGAGAGCTATAACTGTGTTTAAAATGTAGGCTTCTGTCAGACAAACAGTTCAAGTGGTCAAAGGGTAAAGAAAGGAAAGAGTTAGAGAGCAAAATGCATCTGTCAGCGTCCCAAAGATTTTGCCCACTTTTCAAGTAGTAAATACCACAAGAGAGAGTGTGTGCAAGCACACGCACATGCTTGATCAAGTTTCATTAAAACTTTCCAAACAAATTTACTTTGGGCCTGAAATATTCTGGTCCAAGAGTTATTTTTAAAGAATGTTGAAAAATACTATTTTTAGTATTTGTATCACTAAATGTAGCAGTACAACAAGAAAGTTTACAACTGATTTCTGAACTTCTTATAGTTATTTTAAGTTAATACAAAAAAGGTCCAAAGTTACAACCAGGTTTCTTATTAAAACCAGAACATTCCCTCTCCAAATGTACTGTTCATCTTGAAGGCAAATACCACTACAGGAAAAAGCTCTTTTGTTTCTAGAAAACTCCTGAACACTTCACGCATTCTTTTGTATTAAGGGAAGATATTAGGGTTTAAGTCCAAAGATGATCCAATTTATAAACATACACATGCCAATAAATCAAGATCTGTAGATCACAATCAACTAAAATGGATCATAAGCAATGTTAGTATTTAGGTTTTCTAGTCTCTAAACTAGAAAAATAAGCTTGATTTTAAAATCATATCAAACATTTTTAAGTGACAGTTTTTAAACACTACAGGGCTTAATTCCTTTTAAAAACTTAATAGTAATATAACCCTGCCCAGCTATTTAAAAACTATAATTAAAATATGTTATATATGTATTTGTTGTGTTTAAAAATATAGACAGGACTAGGAGCAGAATGAGAGTAGGCTGGAAAACTAAATCTACCAAATCTGGTAAGACACACAATGCGACTACCTAGCCTCCCATTTATTGGGTACAGAAGGAAGTTTTTAAAACTATGCTAAAATGGCCCAGGTTACTATGCAGCAAACCACGTGTTCTAGCACAAACAATATAAAGTGTAACGCAAGCCGATTCCAATAAAATATTATACTGGTGTAAATTTTAGAACCAAGGAGCCAGAAAGCACGTTATGACAGTTTGAATTATTTGATCACATGCCATTTTTTCCCCAACACAATAAAGGAAGTCCAGAGGGCTTTCTTCCTCCTCCTCCTACTTCCACAGGGCTTTGGGAGGGGTCAGCAGGTAGGAAAACAATTCTGGATGGTTCTTCCCTAATTTAACTAAAAGAAGCATATAATCCTGTTTACACTGACAAAGAAAGTTAGGTTAGTTAGTTATGTTCACGTACTTTTTCCTTAACAAGTAAGTTACCATTTGCTGGTTTAGATATAACCTGAGGTAGTACCAGCATTTCTGAGAAAAACATTGTTGCAATCTCCTACTCAGCTTGAAGTTAAGAATTTGCTTTTAAAATGCCTGTGATGGACACAAAAAACACCAACCACTTTTGACAAACCCATTTTTGCAGTATTACCTGGGTTTTCCCATCTCTGGTCACTAATATTAGAACTATACTTTCAATCTCAGATTGAACCCAAAAAGCCATCTCCTGAGCAACAAACCTTAGTCAGAACAACTCAAGAAACCATTACAGAATTAGGGTAATAGTGTGTTTTATAGTTATACTTCAACAGTAGTGAATCAAGGAAGCAATTAGAGTAAGGCAAACAGTGAAAAGAAGGAAGAAGGATGGATCTGGGCAACTGGTTCAGAAAACTGAACTATGAAAAAGAAGAGGTTTGTGACTTAATCCAGGCTGTCACTGAATCAGTAGGTTACATTTAGGATCTTTAAAATTCTGTCTGAAATTCAGTTACTAGTAATTGCTTACAAACATTAAACCGAGTCCACAAAACCACATAACCTTTTAAGTAGGCAGATTTGATACTGACTTTATCCATGTAACACTAATAGCAATGGTACGCTCTCCTCAGAGATGACAAAATGCAAAACCATGTTTTCCACCGTTAGTGGGAACTAAGACACCAACTGGTTCCAAAAGGATTATGCAAGGGCCCCACACATGTACACACAGAACAGTCTCAACGGATAAAAAATGGTCTTGAAAAGTGTCAATAGGTATTAAAACTAAAGACACGGGACAAAGATCTAACACGAAGGGACAGATTTATGGATTATCACACTCCAACCTGTTTGCGTTGGCTTGTTTAGACACCTCCTTCAATCTTTTCATTTTTTTTCTAACTGCATCAGTATCAGGTAAATGGTGATGACCTGCAGGCCCCTTAGGAACTCCTGGATGTATTCCAGGTGGAACTTCTCTGCAGATAAATGTGTACAGTAACTTTCATTACTTTCATCTAAAACAAAGCATATGCAATTCTAATGGAAGGCACTCATACCTTTCAACAGGTTCTTGACTTTGTATTTCTGCTCTCCATCTGGTATCTCTCTCCTCAGCAATTTTAAGGTTTTCTTTTTGTTGTTGCATCTGGTCAAATACAGCATGGTAGTGTTCATACGGTCCTCGAGTAGGCACTGGTGTAGGACCAACACCCCCTCCACCACCAAAAAAAGGGGCCTGGGAATTAGAGAAAGAACTCTGAAGTCCTGGTCATCACAAGCCCTGGTAGTGCTATTACCCTTAGTAGATTAAAACTTAAATTTACTTCAGAACTCCCAATTTGTTCTTATACTTACACTCAAAATGCCTTTTTCTTAAAAGCACTGTATTAAGAATTTAAAAATTTTATTTTTGTGGAAAACTAGCATTTTATTTATTAGTCTCTCACATTAGTTTACTTCAGGAGGGATGTGGACAACTTGGAGAGGGTCCAGAGGAGGGCAACTCGGATGATCAGGGGCAGCAGGGCAGGCCCTACGAGGAGAGGCTATGGGACCTGAACCTGTTCAGCCTCCACAAGAGAAGGCTGAGGGGGGATCTAGTGGCCTGTTACAAACTAGTTAGGGGGGACCAGCAGGCATTGGGGGAGTCCCTGTTCCCCCAATCACTACCAGGAGTGACCAGGAATAACGGTCACAAGCTGGCAGAGGGTAGATTCAGACTAGACATCAGGAAGCGCTACTTCACTGTCAGGGCGGCTAGGATCTGAAACCGACTTCCAAGTGAAGTGGTGCTGGCTCCCACCCTGGGGGTCTTTAAGAGGAGGCTAGATGAACACCTTGCTGGGGTCATTTGACCCCAGTACTTTTTCCTGCCATGGCAGTGGGTCAGATTTGATGATCTGCTCAGGTCCATTCCGACCCTACCAACTATGAAACCATGAATTTGTGAGTACAAAGTTTTCCAGGATGATTTGGGTCAATGACCCTTTTGCAAAATACAATATAGACAACAAATTGTGATGGTACCAATGAGTCCCATGTGGTGTCTAATATAAATTATTATAAGGGTACATAGTAGGAAGAGGATATGCATTTAACGAAGCAGAAATAGTATTATGCCTGAGATATTCTCTTAAGAGAAGTTGTAAAATAATTTCTCAGACGTTATATGAAGCATGTTATATATTTAATACTAGTAATTTTGACACCAAGACACTTGTAACCTTATACTCATTTACATTTGAAAAAGTTGGAATGAGTAACAGCTAGGATGAGAGAAGCATCTCAAAGTAGTTTGTAAGTTCTCTAGTGGGGCTCAGGCTTCTTGGAAGACAGCAGAAATCTAGAGTAGCAGCATTAATATGGCAATTTCTTACAAGCATTGTCTTAACTATTATTTGGGATGCAGCCAAGCCCATGTGGTTTCTTCATGTTCTTGTTGAAGGACAGGAATACAAAACCTAGATACCATTTACAGCATCCTCTCTTCCTCCAGAAACTTTATCAATACAACTCACTATACCTATCAGTGAAACCCTATGGCATGAAAGACCTCAAACTAGTAGAAAACACCACCATCCACTTGATTAAGTTGTTATGAACACCAAACCAGTATTTTGATTTTTTAATTGGCTTCTCATTGACTGAAGTCCAATTCAACATTTTTCTGCTAATACTGAACCATCTTTATGAGATTAGCTATCTAGAGATAGACTCCCCCTCTGTGACTATGAATTCCTACAACAGTTGTGTTCCCATGGAGGGAGTTAAGGTCCACAAATGTACAAAAATATCACTGCACAGGGGTTAGACAGAGTTGTAAATTCACTCCTGGAAGATAAAAAAAAACTTTGGACCTTACCATTTTCAGAAATAGATACAAACGCAAACCTTTATCTTCAACTTAAAAACTTTCCTATGAAATATCTTCACACAAATATTTGCTAACAATAAATTAGTCAAGCTACCTCTCGCAGAGACTTGAACAGAAGAAAGAAATTATATCAATCTTAATATTTTAAATATAATAATGGAGTACTTTCACTTGTGGTGATAATATCATAACAAAAAGTTAAGGAGGGGATTTGAATAAAGAGGTTGTTAAATGTATAAGTTAAGCACAGGAAAAGGGATTGAGGTACAAGTAGGAAAAGAAAAATAAGAAGCAGGAAGGATGACATTATTGCCAGAGAAAGGGAATATGCAGAAATCTGATAAATACAGGACAGTGTACACTCAAATTGTCAAAAGGCAGAGGATACAAAAGAAATCTGTTATACAGTCTGGCAGTAGATTTTACTGGGACAGTTCCACAAGTAAACTGGCATCTGTCTTTTCCAGAAAAAGAATGTGCCAAGGAAGATGACCAAAAGGGAGAGAACAGATTGTGCTACATTTCTGATTCAGCTACCAACCTTAACTTCACCACTTCCACCTGAAGTGAGCACATTTCTCCATCCTTGTTCCCTGGCTCTGTTTATTCGTTCCATCTGGAGAAAGGGGAAGACAAGAAAAGAAAAGGAAAAACACATGTTCAAGGATCCACTAGTTTATTTTTCTTATTTATTTTTTTTAAAACTTGATTGTTGAAAAGAAACATTAAGGTACATTTTACCCTTTCCTTCTCTAGTCTTCTCATCTGCTCAGCCTTCAGCAAACTGATCTGTAAATTTTAAGAATGAAACATTTTGAACAGCTGGTATAATCAGACTGCTTTATATTCTGAGGTAATTAAATGAGGTACTGCACAAAGTAACATTTAATAAAGGTATCACTATAAACACAAAAAAAGCTAAAGGTATTCTTGTCTACCTGGTCTCTCTGTCGTTTTTCCTTCTCTAGTAAGTCTAATCTTTTCTTCTTTGCAGCTTCCTGAAAAATAGAACATAATTAGAATTTATTAGTGCATGTTACTTTCAAACTTCTTCCAAGAAAGTTAGTACTCCAGTGGCACAGGCATTAAAATTAGAGAGTGTTCGGAGAAAAGAAATAAGGAGGAAAGGTTTGAAGGTTTTATTTTGGATATAAAAACAATTCTCCATTCTTGTTTTGGTTTTCATGGAGATTGAAAATAAGCAGATGTGCTTCTTTATACCTCAAACATTTTCCTCCTCTCTTCTCCAGGAAGCATTTTCTTCATTGGAGTTGGATAGGCCTAGATAAAGTGAAACTATAAATTAGACAGGACAGGACATAGTACTTTCTAGATCCCAAAAAAGGAAAGCACACGAGGACATGACAGAAAAATAATTTAAACTGTTATAATAATAAAATAATTTAAATTAATTTAAACTGTTACAAACAGTTTAAACAGATTAACAGATTTGTTAACAACCCTGCTTCATACATTTTCCAAGAATATAATTTAAAATGATAAAATTCTAGCAGAGCCAGGATACATCCTTTTGTATTACTTCATTTGGCTCTAAAGAATGAGCTTCAGTAAAAGAAAATTAATTTTAAAAGCACAATGTTTTATTCTCTCCTGTCAGTTTCTTTTCTCTGGGAATATCACAGCACTGATGCTCTACACCAGTGACTTTCAACCTTTTTAGACTTGATGCACCCCTGGAAAAATGCCAGCTCTAAGTTTTCACTCATTTTTTGACTACAGAAAAATAACAGAGCAGTTTTTCTGTTGCAACAAACTCAAATGCCACACCAGGTCAAAAAGCTTTTAATACTATGGATTCTTATTTGAAATCTCTCAGTTTATCTTGTGAATCATGTTTACACATAGTGCTAATATTGCATAGCACCCTGTGGCACCTTTGAACGGATCTCAAGTTACCCCTTGGTGCCAAAAAGCACTACTCTACATATATACACACTGTACAGCTGGTAGCTGTTTGTGTTAATCACTGCAATCCTACCTACAAGCTTTATATTGCAAGTGCTTTCAAACAACAGCAAATTAAAAACAAGTTTTGAAATGTTAGTAATTTCTTAATTGGCATAGTAATAAGAAAAGTGTCCATATTTAAACCACAATGTATAATTTTGAACACCTCTGAATATAATGCAGTTAAGGCAAAAGATTTAAGAGGAAGATCAGGTAAGATGCATCATTCCGAGACTGAAACTAGTAAGTTCTCTCTTCAAGAGCTAGATCTTCTATATGCAGAGAAGGACAACAGAACAAATTGGTATTTTACTGGCCTCTAGCTAAAACTGCAACACAAATAAAATTAATTAAAAAAATTCTGAGGCACACAACATGCCAAGAATCTTCCTGCAAAAGGTACAGCTGCCAGATGTTTGGATATCCAGTGTATTAGTTATTTTTAGACTTGTGCATATTGGGTCAAAGTTAATGTTTTTCAGAATCTCTTTGTTGATGCATAGAATTACACTTTCTTTTCCAAGGAGGTTACAACTGATGAAATACAAAACAGACACTTCCCTTAGCATCTTTCACTGAATGTTTTGAGTTAAGTATTAGAACTGGGGAAGAAATTATTTAAATTCTGTGGCTGTGCACTGTAGAATGCTAGAGTGGAACAGTTGTACTCCAGGATTTCTGCTTTCATTAAAAAAAAAAAAAGTTTCTAGTTGTTGTGGCTATGGTGATAAAATACTTAAGCCAAGTGAATGCCGTGTTCCCAAAAAGGCTTAAAAAAAAATCTCAAAAGTTGGAGAGAGGAAATGCCACATTCACCTCAATATCGAGTTGCCTTTTAAATATAAGGATGGGAGTATTAGCATTATCTTCTGATTATTTAAACATAGATATCAAGCTATGTTTAATTCTGTAATATTAAACCACATTCACAATTTTCCAGGGCAGTGGTGCTCAACCTCCAGCCTGTAAGGCCACATCATCTGGCCCATGGAGTTCCTCACAGGTCCAAAAGGTTGGGGACCTGTGAGGGAGCAGTGAAAACATTAATGGCTGCCTCCCTGCTGCCAGCTGCCAAATTTCCAGATCCTTGGAGAACCCTGAAGACCCAGATCCAGTACTGCTCAAATCCAGATACGGATCCAGCACATAAGGCCAGGCTCATGCACCAAGCCCATGCTGAATCCAGTCCATAGATCAGCCCTGCACCACTCATCCAACCCAGGGGGTCACAAGGTAGAGCACCACTGGTGTAGGGCGATAAAATGCCTATGCTAAAATTACTTTCTTCACTTACTGCCAAGCTTTTATACTATCGTTAAGATGTGTGGAAATACAGGTTTCCCTCAATTTATGCAGTATATGTGTTCCTGAAGAATGCTGCATAAATCAAATTTGCATAAAGCCCATACTGGAGCGGCCCCAGGAGCAGCCGACACCAGCTGCCTGCACCAGGGCTGCAAACAGCCGGCAGTGGCCGCTCCCGGGGCAGCTGCAGCAGGTGCTGGGGTGCATGGGACAGAAAGAGCCCCTGGGGGGTTTGGGGCACAGTGCAGCCCAGCAGCTGCAGGCAGCTGGCCCCAGGAGTGGCTGGCACCGCTGCAGCCAGGGCTGGTGAGAGTGGGGCCATGGCCCTTTGCCCTCCCCACACAGACTTACTTGTTTGGGGCGGGGGGGAGCAGGGTGGCTCTGCCGATCACATAATAGTAAATTTACCTCGCATATGAGTTATGGGTCTAAATACGCTCATTGCATAAGAGCAAATTTGCATATAAAGAGGCCACACACAAAAAAAAAGACCAAGGGAAACCTGTAATATTTGACAAATTTCTGTGCTGGTTGTATTAGGTATTTGAATATTAACATTTAAAATGAAGTAGCCAACTAGATCCGTTTAGAAACAAAATCCAAGGACAACGTACAAAACAGGCTATGGATTATTAGTCCAAGACGCAGAGCACCTATTGCAGAGCTGGGACCTATGCAACAGAACCAGGGGACAGAGCCAGCCTTGTATAGCTGGGGCACAGCCACAGCGTCTAGCCTAGCAGCTGTATGCCAGTCTGGAGGACATCCAGCCTAAAGTAGGAACACCTGTGGGAGGCTAGGAAACCACATGACCAAGAGAGGCAAGGCTTAGGCAGTATATATGCCCAGGGCCAGAGCCAGAGCCGGGGGGTAGTCTGGCTCTGCCGGCTGCCAGGGAAGGAACTGTGTACTGAGAGGACTATGCTGAGTAAATGACTGGGATCTGCACGCCATGAGGCCTGCAAGTTTGCAAAAGAACTCAGCTGTGTTATGCAGCTACAGTACTTAGAATTTCAGATATAGCCTAGGGGTTTACTTTTGCTTGCAGTTTACACTAGAGGACCAGGTTGGGAATAGCAAAGAAGGCTGGAGGTCCCAGGGTGCTTGAGGGGCACGTGATTTCTTGAGCTCTGCTAGGGGCTGGGCTTACAGCACTAACAGGTGGCAAACGTGAAGGAGCTAATGCCTAGATTGAGAAGGCTACTGCCGAGAAGGTCAGAGACAAGGCCAGGGGCTCAGTGACACAAAGTTGGAACCAGGGCCAGGGACTCACAATCCTTGTGGGCAGCCTCCCACCTCTTTTCAAACCAAAAGAGCATCAAAAAAAAAGGGTGAGGAAGGTGAGGAAAAAGGGTGAAGCCCAAAAACTGAAGGGCAGGGATTGCCAGGCCATCAGGGGGTAACATGGCTGTTTCTGGGACCTGAACCTGCTGCAAGTATCTACAGACTTACTTCATTCAGAATTGATGCATTTTACCTTTTTTTAAACTGCTGCAAGATTTAACACTGGTAAATAAACTCACTTTTAAGTAGCATTTTGGTTACTTATGTATAGTACAAACAGTGCATGATATTAATCCCAAGGCTCGTGATTTATGATATAGTTCATTAGACTGGACCCCAGCAGAATCAATAGCATTTCAAACCATGGTTACCCCACAGCTCAGCACTGCTTAGTTTGTGTGCGTGTACTCCTGATGCATCCCACCCCCTTTCTGCAAAAGGATGCCCGTGCTAACTGGGTGTTCTTGTCATGCCTCCTAGGATCCTCCAAAAATTTATATAAAGGTAAGTCATAGGGCAACCTGGTTTGGCTCCACCTCATGGAGGGCAGGGCCACACTAATCATAGGTAACGGGCTGAGAGGGGTCAACAGAGAGATTCTGGGTGAACTGTTTGAGGACCTGTTTCATGATGTTTGCCAAATATTTAAGGTAGGGGTGCACCAATAAAGAATTTCTGGCTGATACCAAGGGCTGATTATTAACCAGCCATATTGGCCAATGCTGATCTGATAGCCAAGATGCAGCTTGTCAGAACCAAATTTGATAACAGTGCTGGTTAACACAGGGTTAAAGTACTCACATGCGCAGACAAGCTATGGAAAATCCCCAGAGGGCTGACAAGCACGTGCCCCCTGTACGACCTCAGGCTTGTCAATCATGGCTCTGCCATGAGGTAACCTGACTTGTTACCATGCGCATGCCCAGTCTTGCTTCAAGCATGACATAATTTGACTAGAAATTTCCACAGAAAAGGTTACCTGATTGGCTACCTGTTTAATATAAAAGGCTTGTAAGTTTCCGCCCACGGCGGAGACCAGACCCAACCTGAGAGTAGAGACTGCTACTGCAGAGACTGCCTCTCAGGAGAGCCTCTTAGGCCTAGAGCCCTGGTTCGCTTCAGAGCTCCGCTGGTCTCCCCGCTACTGTGGACTCGCAGCATACTTCTGCCTTAACTATCACCCATCTTCGTATCAATCACCTGTTGCTGAACATTGTTCTGGCACTGACTACGGCACCAGTTCTCCACGTTCCAGTTCATGTTTCTTCGCCACCATTACCGACCCGGCATCATCCACGTTTCTTCATCGTTCATCATTTCGCATTCTTGTTTCTCGAACCATTGTAACCAAGCCTAAGATTGAACCAGCCTACGCCACCTTACCATCTTGGGGCGTAAGTAAGCAATAAAGACCACCTTGTTTTGAAACCGCACGTGTCCTGAACCGCTCTAACTCCTCACCGCTAATCCTGCCTGATCCGATCCGTACCCGGGCCCACCATGACCTTGGGGCCCCGTCCCCGACACAGCTCAGCAGTTTGGAGAGCAGCTCCCTGCTGGTAAGTCTGTGGAGAAGGGGGATGGGGCAGGGACAAGCCCCCATGGTGAGGGAAGGAGTGGGGCAGAGGCAGGCACTACCCAGCCAGGGCAGTGAATGTGACCCCATGGGCACGGCGGAGCCACAGGCAGCTAGTCCAGGAGGCAGATCCCTGCCACTACACACA